TTGAATCAATTACATTACCTAGGGTACTAGTGTCTATTTCTCTCTCCACCTGCAACAAAGTAATACCATTTCCCCTACAAGTGCATAAAGGTATGTTTTGATTTTTATTTCATTTTTTTTAATGCTTGTAAGCATTTCCAAAATAAATGTTTTATTCAACACTTTCATATACATTGTTTTTAATCATGGGTTTTATTTTATCTTATTTTTTTTTAACTTATCACCAATTTATTTCTTTCAGCCAGACTTGGTCTCTGTAGAGAAAAAAAAAATTTTAAGACCATTATTAAAAATAGTGTATGTTATAGTACTTTCAGAATTTAGTACATGATGTTTCATGTGTATTCTATCTAATTTTTTAAATGTTATTTTGTTTAATCATTCTTAATTCATTTATCTCTCTTCACTTTTTATGTTATAAAATATCTTTCATTTCAATACTGCTTTATTTAAAGAAAAATTACTTTCTTTTTCACATGACACTTATTAATTACAAAGGAAACAAAATAGTAACTTTACAGATGGCAAACACCACCTTATTACCCACGCGCTCAAAGTTAACGTAACTAATAAGGGGACATATCAACATCCTGTGCTTCCTGACATGAAGCACTAAGAACACAGAGCCACTTCTGTGTGCCCTCCCTATATTCTTGAGAAATGTCAAAGTTATGAAAGACGAAGAATGAACAACTGTTCCAGATTAAAGGAGATTGAAAAGACATGCAACTTAAACCAGTGCATGGTCCAGAATTTTCTTTTGCTATAAAGAACATGATTGAGATGATGAAATTTGAGAAAGATCCGAGGTATTAAATCAGTGTTAATCTCCTGATTTTGATAATTGTATTTTGGTTATGTACAAGAACATGGTTTTAGAGTATATGAGTGATCCTTGTTTTGGGTATATAGGTGTATATATGTGGGGAGAGAGAAGCAAACACGTCAAAATGTTTGACATTTGGAGAATCTGGGTGAAGGGTATATGACAGTCCTTTCTACTGTTCTTGCAAATTTTCCATTACATTAAAAAAAGTTTTAGCAATTCCTTCTCATTGAATTAAAATGTAGTTAGACATTCATCAAGCAGAATGTTATATTGGATTTAGATACTTAAAAATACAGAATATACTGTTCTTGCCTATAAGGAACATAAAGTTAAAAGCAAAACTTTTTTTCCTATGAATTGCATTTAAAATGTTATCTGATTTTTATCTAACTCAGAGGTTTTTTAGGGGCAGACTTGAAACTCATAGTTATGTCACAGTTTACCAAAAGTACCTTTTATATTTGTCATGTTGTGGTTTGCCTTCCAGTTGATGCCCACTGATGGCGACCCATGTATACAGAGTAGAACTGCTCCATAGGGTTTTCAGGGCTGTAACCATTCTGAAGCAGATTGCCAGGCCTCTCTTCCAAGGTGCCTTTGGGTAGGTTTGAACCACCAAACTTTGAACTATAAGTCAAGCACTTAACCATTTGTGCCACCCAGGGACTCTTATATTTGTCATAGTTGGTCACATGGGGTCTTTATTATGCTTTTTCTGGTAAGGGAAATGAATCATTACATTAAGTAAAACAGGATGAGTACCCACCATTCTTTTCTAATGATTTTTTTTTTCTTTGTGGAGGAAATTGTCTATTTATGGCTCATTTATCAAGAGATTACATTATAACCCCATGTTCTCTCTTTTCTTTGTCATAGTAGGCAGAATTTTTCTAAGACTCAGATTTAGTGTAGACTTGCCCAAAATGTTTCCAAACATTTATTTAAAGATAATTTAGACTGATGTGTATGGCTATCCATTTTTCTGTGTACAATTCAAACTGTCTTTATGGTTCATTACTACTTCTTCCAGTCCTACATAATGCCTTTTCTTTTTGCAAATTTCTCTTTATCTTTTTTCCAGTGTGAATTTTTCCTTCACATTCACTGTTTGTTCTGAAATTTTCTCTGGCTGTAGCCAAAACAAGCTCCCCTTTCTTAACCAAACTGTCATCTCCCTCTTCTCCTTCTAGACTTGTTATACAGGAGGAATCTTGTCCGGCTCTCTGTGTGTGATCCTTGCCTGTAGGGGGCACCCCTTGTAGGTCAGACATCTGCACACAGGAATCCCCCATGGCCTCACAGTATGCCCTCACTGTTTGTTATTTTTCTGAGCGAGACTATCCTTTCCTGTGGTTTAATGCATGCTAATGGGAGTTAACTGTGCAGACAGTTAATGTGCTCACTGCTAACTGAAAGGTTGAAGGTTCGAGTCCACCCAAAAGTGCCGTAGAAGAAAGGCCTACTTCTGAAAAATCACCTACTTCAAACAGAATCAGGTGCAGTTCTACTCTGACACACATGGGATCACCATGATGTGGCATTGACTTGATGAAAACTAGTTTTTAATGTTCTTTAAAGACTTAAATTTTCTTCCTCCTCGTTTGACTTTCTTCACCTTGTTCAACAATTACTAGTATCCAACCTAGTGGTTTATTTGCCTGTTCAAGTCTTTGGTATTCTGGTGCTATCAATCCCATACTTGGTACTTAAAATAGTTATAATGGTAGTATTTCATGTTCTAAGGTATTTATATATGACCCAGGAGCAGAAATTAAAATGTTTTGTTTGCTCTAGGGGTTAATCTTTTAGAGATTTTTAATTTCCAAGGATATTTATATTTTCTTTCATTTATGTATTCCTTTTCATCTCTATTTCGAGGAGGAAACATAGGGAGTTTTTTTCTCTGCATAATTTCCTCCTGCTGGGTTTGCCAGTTGCCAATTCTAGCATTTCTTAACTCAGAAGACTCAAGAAAGACCAAACCTTGCAACTACAAAGCAAGAATTTCACACTCGATGCAAAACATCTGTCTCGTTGGTGTTTATCCACAAAAACGGCTGTTAGTTTTCCTATGTTTTTAGTGTGTGTATTTGTACAAGTGGTGGGGATTCTTTGTTACTGGAGTTGAGGAGCAGGGAATTTAGATGTTTTCCCCTCCCTGAATCTCTTCGAACAATACTAATTATTTATCCACCCCTGCTCCTTCTTAGTATAAACAGAAAGAAACCACTCGCCTGATTTAATGTTTGCAGTTATTGATTATTTGGAGTTGTTGGGAGGCCTATCTTGTATATTAGGTATGATGTAGACAAAAGTTTCTGTTTTAAGAAAGAATATAAATTCTAAATGTGTCTTTTCTAAGTCATGATAAGAAACTAACATGGCCTCTTCCTTATATCAGCTTTAGATATAATTATATTGTATCAAATTACTATCAATTTGTCAATACAAATTACCCATGTAGGCTCTTAGGAAAGGAGCAATATCTCATAACATTTAGCAATAAAAATACCTGTCTGGAGGTACAGAAGAAAGAAATCAGGGCAATAAATTCACAGATACTTCAGATTGAGAAAATATCCAGGGACATGGTATATCTTAATTATATTCGTAACACGGGACTTCTAGAATCACTAACTGGATATTTACCTTCATTTGGTAGAACAGTGTAAGTAGTTTCCATTCCAGCATGAATGTGATCAGTCACATGGCAGTGGAGTAACCAAGTTCCAGGTGTTCTTGGAAACATCTCTAGGGTTTGGTATGTCCCAGGAAAAATGTCGAAGACATCAGAACTATAAATGCCCCTGTGCTTAATTAGAAAAAGGATAAATATTTATCATATGTGAGAGTTCATTGAAATAATCTTTTATTGGCCAGTTCAGGAGTGTTAGAAAATGACTATATCTATAAAAGAAAATCTCTGTATATTTCTGTGTTTAATATAAACAGTGGGTATATGGTCCTTGTATGAGGCATTGTGGGCCATGAAGTGGGTGTGAAAGACAGAAGATGTGATGAAAGTGAATTAATCCACCAGAACCTCTGACTTCTTGACTCTGGTTTGCCGTTCAGAGAGCACTTGAGCTACACGAGGGAACTGTAGCTATGGCCCACTGTTATTCCTAACCTCATTTTTGCCAGACTATCCCAAAAAAACCGGTCTGTGGGACATTAAGGCAAGCAGGGTGGTAAAGAAGCCAAAAACCAGGTGCAACTGACAAGAGTAATTGGAGGTATTTCTCTAGGAATAGAGTTGAAATTGCACTAAGAATATATCTATGTAAAACAAAATACAGATAACAACTTTGACTTTTCTGCAGCTTCTAAATTTGTATTTTTTCTGTTCTAACTCAAAGGTCACAATAAAGCATTTCCAAAAGGGCCACTGGCTCCTGCTGAAATCAGCACTGAGTAAATAATACTTGAGCTCTAGGACCAGTGAGTTGTGTGACAAACTGCAGGTCATGCTTTCACTTACGAGAATTTAGAACAGCCGGGGCAACAGGTGCAATAAAGTCTTGTCTGCTTTCTGCAGTACTCTTAATCCTTCATTAAGTAGGTAGTCCTTACCATCTCTGCTAGCAATTCCCTTAAAATGCTTACTCAGGAATATCTTAGCAGAATTCCATGGAAGTTCAAGGAAAAGTTCAAATTTAAGAAACCCAAGGTGTAACAAAGATTGGCAATGCCAACTGAAGTTGTCCCATACTCTCAAAATTTTTTTGTCTCTTGAAACTTCCAATTTTTCATAAGTGTCTTTAAAGGAAATATTTTCTTCGTTTCTATTAAAACATTTTCAGGTAGAGAAAGTGTAACTACCAACAATGGCACTTACCTTGTATCGAAAGCTATGGCCATGGAAATGCACACTGTGCAAGTCTATTTCATTGCCCATTCCCATCAAATACCAGTTAACTTCATCTCCCACATGCATTGTGAGACCTTGCAGGTTTCCAAACATTCTTCCATTGATTGCTAGGGAAAGCACATGATTTTCATATTACCTTCAGTATATTTAAATCAATAGCTATTTCACAGAGAATATGATTATTAGGTTAATAAATAGGATATTTTTAAGGTAATTGGATTTATTTCATCACAAAAGGGGAAGTGCTGATTCCTTAAGGTCAATTAAGTCAGCACAAAAGCCTTAATACTAATTGTGAATTTATTTAAAAGGCAATGCTATCCTGGAATTAGGGAAAGAAATTAGTAAATGATTCTGAATATAGTTCCTTTTTCCTCTGAAGAGAACCCTACCTCACTGATAAAATGAGTCACAGGTGGTTTATTTTTAAATGAAACATACTCTTAAACTAATTTTATGTGAAAGAAGAAAGGCTTAAAACAAACGGGAAGAAAAAAGTATTGTTCTGATGTACCATACCATGCATTTTATTGCTTTCTATGAATTCCTCATTGTCTTTATTTACTTTCTCAGGGTGATCAGAGTATGTTTTGATGTTGTCATCTAAGTACCAAGATTCATTCTCATCAAAAACTTGAAACAGGAGGGAAAATTCCAATGTTTTTATGGGATTGAATACTTTTAAGTAATGTCTCCGGCAAACAATCAGCGGGCCGATTAATCCACTATAGAGATCCTGAAAACAAACAGAAACTTCAGTCATCCTATATAAGTCAGGATTTAGACAACTGTGACCTGATTGCCCTGACCTCGGGTTTTGGAGGGATGGATTTAAGTAATAGATTTTGCCAAGATGGTACTGCCAAGCTGGTAAATTTGCCCTTAAAATAGTTATATATTGTAACAATGTTGAACAGTAGATAGGCCATGTGTGTCTTGCTGATGTAACAAATATGTATGGAGTCTTCAAATATTGACTCAGCTAATGCTCAGCATTTGAACCCCAAGTGAACAGCGTTAGTTCATTCAACAAGCTTATGAGTGCGTCTGTGAGTCAAGCACTATGCTATTCATTAAGAATCCAGAAATGAATGAAACAGTACTGCTGCTTAGAGAGATAGAAGTGAACCACTTGTCAGCACCAATGGAGGTATGTTGTTGTTATGTGCCCTCGAGTTGGGCCTGACTCATAGTGACCCCTCCTTGGGTTTCCAAGGCAATATCACTACAGAAGTAGATTGCCCCATCTTCCTTCCGAGGAGTGGCTGGTGGGTTTGAACCTTCAGACTTCTGGTTAGCAGTCAAGTGCCTTAGGCACTATGCTACCAGAGCTCCCAATGGAGGTATAGACAGTGCTAACAAGCAGATGGGAGGAAGAGTCTTAAGTTTGGAAGAAGTTTGATTTTTCTGGGCATCAGTAGTGACAGGTTAGGTCTTGATGGGCTCTTGAGCTGTGTCATATTATGGAATTTCAGACTTTATCTTGTGGCCAATATGTGGTGGTGTTGTTAGGTCCCCTCATGTCAGCTCTGAATCATGGTGACCCTACACACAACAGAACAAAATGCTGCCCAATCATGCACCATCCTCACAATCCTTGCTGTACCTGAGCCCAGCGTTGGAGCCACCGTATCAATCCATCTTCTTGAGGGTCTTCCCCTTTTTTTGCTGATGCTGTACTTTACCAAACATGATATCCTTCTCCAGGG